CAATTTTTTTTTAATTTAATTCAATAATCATATAGAATTAAAATAAAAAAAATTTGACCGAATTTGACTAGGTAAGTGCCAAGTAATCTTCATTCAAAGTTTAGGTGCCTATAAAAGGAAACTTGCGGCCAAATTTTTTTTTAACCTATAATGAATATTACTTGATATTTAGCTATTCAAATTCGATAAAATTTTTTTTATTTTAATTCTATGAAGCCATAGAATCAAAATAAAAAAACGTTCACCAAATTCAGATAGTTGATTGTCACAAAATCTTCATTTAAAGTATAAAAAAAGAAAAAATTTGTCAGATTTTGGTTTTTTTTCAATTTTCTATATTTTTTTTAAACTTCTAGTGAAGATTTCTCAACAGCCAACTATCCTAATTCAATGAAAATTTTTTTTATTTTAATTCCACAGGTGTATAGAATTAAAATAAAATTATTTTATTAAGCTTAATTGAGTAGTTAATAAGAAAACATCACTAGGATTTTAAAAAAACAGGCAAAAATTAGAAATAAACAAATTTTGATTTGCTAATCAAAATGTTCTAGAATGCAGATCAGCGAAATTCTGTTATTGCCATTGGGATACTTTAAAAATAGCACCTGATTTGATGATTAACAATATGTATAACATAACAAATAAACTTTATTTTGATTTTACACAAATCAGATAATCCCTCCTTAAATCAGATTGGATTATGTGCCTTTGTTAACTTGATAAAAGGAGTAATTTTTTAATTTACAACATTATCATCAGACATGACAGACTATTTTAACTTTATCAAAGAAAAATATAACAGCCCTAGCTTATATACTTTTTATATTTTTAGTACTATTACAAATAAAATAAATTTAAAAAACCGATTATAGAAATAAAATGAAGTTTAAACAAAGATTTTGCCAAAACAATAAAACTAAATTCAAATGAATTTATGGCGAGTATGATATTTTTTATTAAAATGTCTATTGAAAATTAAGATATAATTTGAATATCAAATGATGCTCTGGAATTAAACCCCTTGCATAAGAATAATCCATTTACCAAATGCAGCCTAATATTTAAATATCCTTTATATAAGAGTAATCTATCTGCGAGTTTAATGATTTAAAATTCATTCTTACATAAAAATAATTTAATTTGTTAAATATTTTTTGATGCAAGGCTTATAAATTTAAATTATTAGCATAGAAATAAACTATTTGAAAAAATACTTCTTGATGTGAGGCCTATTTTAATATATTGTAATTTGTTAGATTGGTCCTTCTTGTTATGAGACTATTAATTCTTCAGAGCTTGAATGTTTGATTTATTCATTACTGAAATATGTAATATTTAATAACTAGTAAATATAAATTGCAGAATTGTAATTAATATACACATTATATCTTTTTTTTTTTTAGAACGAACTCAAAATTTTAATAAACATAATTGAAGAAACTCAAAATAAAAATTTATATATAAAATAAGGTAGATATATTGAAGATTGTGCCAAAAATCTATGATGTCATAAACTTTTATGTGACTCTGTATATGATTTTTTACGACTTGTAGAAGCAAAAAATCAGATTATAAATGTAATAAATTTTTTTTTTTTGTAATTTTTATAGTTTTATAATATCTAAATTAATATTAATTGTTAAGCTACAATACAAAAATGTAAACAATGTTGTGAAGACTATAGCTTGATCTTTACCAAGCATGTCATTAAGTCCTGATAACTTGATTCTTTTTGAAATATTAGATATTCTTACTTTGACAAGTGAAAGCTTTCCAATAAAAACATTTTTGAAAAAGAAGAAATTATAAAGATTAGTTAAAGAACCAATAAAGTTTTTATTACTACTAGATAATGTAGAACAATTTGTTATAAATTGTATTGAAAATAAAGATAAAAATATTAAAATACCAAAAAAACATGCATCTTTATTTGTTAGAATTAAAAATCTAATTAATTCAATGTAAGCTAAATGCATTTGTCTATATTATAGTAATAATTATCTCTGGTAATCTAAAATTTTAATTATAAGAATTAGAGTATGAAAAATCCTGAATACCAAATATGTCAACCAAATATCAATGAATCCACTAGGGGTCATAATATGATAAAACCTATTATTGCTTTTATTAAATATGATCTAGAGACAGAAATCTTAATAAGATAGTAATTTATAACTTTAATTTATTTATAAGATTTAGTAGTTAAAAGGATTTTTTTGTATAGAGATGCAATCACTAGCCAAGTGAGCTTAGACAGAAATAGTGATAAAGGTCCTATTAAAAAATATGATATATTTAGTGTAAGCAAAGATCAAAAATATGATATAGAAATTATGCTTAGTGAAATATCACATGGACCCCTAGATGAAACTCTCATTCATTCAATTGAAGACAGAATTAAGTTAAGAAAAGAAGCAAAGAATTCATTAGATAGTATATTAAGAACTTATTTCAAATTACCAAATTTTAATTTAACAAATTTAAAAATCTTTTTGTTATATTTAAATGTTAGTAAAAATTTTTTAATATTTATAAAATTCCCATTTATTTAAAAAATTTAAATATAATATTTATTTAGGGACAAAGTTGAAATTTTTAATTTTTGATAAAAAATATTCACCAATGTTCAGAATAAGAAGATTAGCAATTATTGAAATCCCCTTTAAAAAAGGATCAGATTTATTAGAATTAATTAAAGTTGTACACACCTTTAAAAGTCTTATAGAGAAAACTGTAATAAACATGAAATTTTTTAAAAAAGCAAAAAAACATACTAATTATATTATTAATGATAATAATAAAGTGAAGATGAAGAGGGTGAGGATGATGAAGAAAGTGAAAATTATGAAAGTGAAGATAATAGAAGTAATGATAAAAGAAAAGAAGATTATAAAGATAATGAAAATAAAGAAGATAAAGAAAATGAACATGAAGAATTAGAGAATGAAACAATCGAAAGTAATTGGAATAGATATAACATCCCAACATTTAATATGCCAATTTTACAAAAAAGAAAAAAAGACAAACAATATCTAATTTCTGATTTAAATTTTATTAATTAGAAACAGATATTAAAATTTAATAAATGTTTTAAAGCAAATATTTACAAAATGCATCATATAATATTCTAATGAAATTTTAGAGTATATGAATAGAAGAAAGAAATTAAATATTCAAATTGTTTGGTAAGATATAAAGGCTGTATATCATGAGGAGGGAAAGCAATGTCCCCAATCTTATCCTGGAATAATAACTAGTGGAAATAAATTTATAAGATTTTTTTTTAAAAAAATTTATACTGAATTGTTTATCGTTTTTACTTATTGTATAAAAATTATGTGAAATATACCATATAAACAAAGTGGGTTTGAAACTTTATTCTATATCATTATAGTATGTTGCATTATGCTAATGTTCAAGTTGTAAAGTAAATTAACAAGTTTTTTATAAATATAAAAAACTTTAGCACATGTTAAAATAAGTTTGAAGAATAAATACCAGTATTTTAAAATTAAATAAAATATGGGGTTAAGTCAATAAAAATTAAGCAAATATTTAAAAAATCAAGTGTGAGTAACAAAATTAACTATTGATAGCTATTGTTTGATTTTATGTCCAATTTTCTATTATAACCTCAAGCTTAATTTTGAAAAATGACTTATTTCATATTTAGTTAATTGCTAAAATTTGAAATAACGCTTATTTTGTAATACAGTAGTCAAAATTTATTTATTTCTAACACTACTATATATAAAGTAATTGTTCTCATGGTGTCTTATTGATAACTAACCAATTGAATTTTATTTTTTTGTAAGTAAATTTACTATTTGAGTGAGCTTTTTTGAAATAAAATTAAGGCCAAGTGTTGTATCACTTTTTGAGCTTTATGTCTTTTTTTTTTTATAAAGTAACTTCTTCTTTTTGCTTAAATACAAGTTGACAGTTTGATTGATTATAAGATATGATTATTTTTAATTGTTAAATATAGGTTTTTTTAAAAATAGAATTCCCATTACTGGGATCGTCTAAAGCCAAAGCCAGGTGTGTTCATGTAACTAAACAAAAATACAAGATATACAAAAAATATACCTCTAAACCTGTCTTGGAGTATTAACAAAAAATGAAGGAAGACAATTTTACTTATAATGTTTGTTTTAACTAACTGTAACTAACTTATATTCTAGTTTTAACTAAGAAATCAAAATTATATAATATATCTGGCTCTGACCAAAATAAAAATTTGGTGAAATGGTGAATTCGTGAAATTGATGTACTTGGAGTTGGTGAAACTGGTAAAATAGTAAAATAGTAAAATGGTGAAATTATTTTACCACCCTTGCACAAGTAAAGGATGTCAAAATATATATAATATATGCAAATATAATGTTGGAGAACAACCTTGCTATATAGTTTGCAAAAACTGTAATGAAACATTAGATAAAAATGGTTGCAAAATGAGATATAGAAATTGCAAAGAGCCTCAAACCATGAAAGGATGTATTAAAACAGAAAATATTTTTAATTTCTCTTGATTGCAGAGTTTTTTT